ATAACGATGAGATTCACTTCTGTACATCAATGCTAGCCATGATGGTATGTTTAAATTTAGAGCTATACCAAATTGACCAAGATACTGTAATTTCATTCCCAATTGAGAAATGATTAAAGATATCAACACGAATCGACTTTTAGATTTCATGTTAAAGGATTTTTTTGTATTGTGGTAACTTTACAGTTACACGCATGGCCAAACACAGTCATCTCGACAGTCGTACTTGAGTTTTTAACAGGGTTAAATCTCATACAAAATTTCATCATATGGACAAAAATTACTGTATTTGTATAAAAGGTCTGATGGTTGTAATTCTAATATTGATATTGATGATGTTGACGTCAAAATTAGCAAGGCTAATCTTAAGCCAACTTTAAGGAAAAAAGACCACAAAATATGTTTAGAGAGTGTAATTATGCCTTGAGTTGTTGTATGAAATCACTTTCCCTTTACAAGAGTCCTATTCAACTATTTATACATAGTTTCAGCCGACGTTACATCAAATTAGTCAAACCGGCAATAATACCGAGCTCAGAACTCGGGTTGCCGGATTCTCTTGTGATTGGTAGTTGAGTTCGGTGGCCTTGTGTCAATGTTTTCCCCAGGTAATGTTGACCTGCAAGAGGCTGGAGGTTGAGGACTTAGGATTGGTTGTTCCGGGCGGAGATGATGTCACATGTGGCAAGTGTATTTAATTGATAGGGTGATGTGACAGGGGATAATCATGATATTTTTCTGAGATAACGGCGGGATTGTCCGACCTGGGAGTAAGGATCGAACTCACATTTAACTGAAGTGGGGTTAGCGAACTATTTTTATTCGATCGAAGTTCGGACGTCCACAGTTATCCCCCAGGCCAGTTCTTCCGTAAGGGGGGCTGACCTTCTGACTTCATGGGTTCTTTTTCCAAGAAAAGTAATTATTATTATGCCAAGTGTCATGCCTGGGTAGGGATGAGCTATACGACATTTTTAGATAGCTTCTTTGATAAGTTTCTTGATGCTGTGTCGTTTTGCCCAGGAGACATTTCAACTGTAGATCTTCCCTCCTTTATTTTGAACTAACGACCTATATTAAAACCCTTTATCTTCCTTTTTTTTAAATATTCAA